CTCTATAAATGCCCTTTGCCTCCCAGCTCTTTCCTCTATTTCCCTTGACTTTCCTCCTGTCCCACTGTCATGCTTAGTCCCCACCAGGATTTCAGCACTTCCTGTTTGTTGCATTCTTAACTGAAAGATCTTAAGAGCTCATCTCTAGACTAACATCTTCACTCAACATCTTAAAAAAATAGAAACAAGAAAGAATTTCCAGAGGTTATGGTAGAAATACTAATTTGCTGTTCTGGGTATAAATCCAGTCAACAAACATTCAGTGAATACTGCTGGGTTTTTAGGTAAAAAAGAGACATTGCTGACCATCCAGGAACTTATAATCTAGTAGGGGATATAGCTTTATAAACATAATTTCAGTAGGCTGTGCTACATATGTCAATAAAAGTGAATGCAGGGTAAAATATGAGAGCGAGAATTTAGTTAGTTACTAAATGTTTGTTTTTATTTTCCTCCACTAACATTGTTTTTGGGAGAAACATGGAGCTTTCTATTCTCCTAAAGCATTACAGTTTCAGAACCCCCAGGGGCAGTTCTACTTTGTCCTACAGGGTCACCATGAGTCAACATTGACTTGCTGGCGGTGAGTGAACATTGTTTGGGAACTCATTAGTGTGAGCATAAGGCAGAGGGGTCAGATAGGTTGGTGTGGACCCCACATGCCAGTGACCATTTCGTTCTGTTACATATACAGTAGCCATGAGGCAGAGCCCACTGGACAGCAAAGAACAACAACGTTTATTCTCTACTGTATGTCAAGTAAAAAATACTTGTAAAGTACACAGTTCCTGATCTCAGGATTGTTAATCTTTTGGTGAATGAATCTCACAATATCTAATAAAAATAGAAATACGCTTCAAAAGATTAAATGCAGTTCTACAAGAGCTCATAATTACAGAACTGGACCCAACCTAGCGGTCAGTACAGGCTTCCCTCCGTTCCATTTGCCATGGCACCCACAAGTCAAAGGTGCCACAGACACTGGTTTTAACCATCCAATTCTTTTTATTTAAACGTGACAGAGTCTCTTGTAAATAGGTCAAGTTATGCAGATAGAGGAATTCACCAAAGGCATCCTGTCAGAAGTATTACTTCAACTCGATCTCAGACTCCTTCAGTTGGAGTGCTATCGTCTTCCCCACCCAGTACAGACCCTGCAGAGCCCTGTCCCTCGGGGCGTGGAAGCCACATGGAGATTTCTACTGCTCGACCTCTGGGCCTTAGATGTCATGTCATCCTTTTCCTTATGAATTCCATTATGAGTCTATTTCTTCATGCTGCTGCCTTCCAACACTGAAATCTCCTGAGTAGAAGGTTCAGAGCCCTGCATTTACAGAGGCCCCTTCCATAACCTTGGGAATTTCTCTAGCAATGTATTCCCTTGGCTCAAGTGTTTTTCTGAAATTTGGAAAAGCAAAGTATTTCTATCTCAAAAATTAAGATTGCTATTTTCTTCCACTGAAACACCCCCACCCCCACCAAACTTCTCCCTCTGGTAGGTGATTTGGAAATGGCTTCAGGAACTTTGGAAAGCCACCTAAGGAGACCCTCGAGTCGGTGTATTTAACAGGTACCTCATGGAATGTCTATATGGAGGCTTTAGGCACTTCTGTGCATAGTTAGGAAGATTGGGAAGATTCATTCATAGATTCCTAGGTAGGTCAGTTTGGGTTGGAACTGACTCAATGGCAATTAACAACAGCATCCATAGTTAAGCTATTGAGAGCCACTCTGTCTTTGAATGGCTTCTAGAAATACTCCTAGGGGCCTCTGTGCCCACTCACTTGGCAATAGGACACCCAGGTGCAAGGCCAGAGTTCATGGCTTATGAGTGTTTCCTACAGTGACCACACATATGTGGGTCATGGGGAAAGAACACGGCTTGCCATGCATAGGCTAGTAGGAACAATCCCTCTAGTTACCAGGTGTTTAATAATGTAAGCTGAGGATGTGGTTGTCACTGATGCCTACTTGAAATGAGAAGTCCTGTCAGGTGTATGCTTGATAATGCTGCCTTTCTAATTAAAGATGCATCAAATGTGCTTTTCTGTTTTGGGGGGAATCTCTGAAATGCAATTTGTGAAAACTATTTTATTTGAAGGCACAGCCCTATCTCAGTACTACCAACAGCTAATACATTTGGGTATAAAATGTTAGGATGCATATATCCAAAAGTAAATTAAAAAAACACATTTCTATTAAGCTTCCTCAGAGGAAGTCAGAATTCTCACTCTCTTAGCATAAAATAATTATTTTCACCTGAAGATGCAAATCGAGTGCAGTTCAAATGTGGGAGAGACAGGATTGTGCAGGTGTGAGAAGCAGCTACTCGACTTAAAAGTAAATGGCCATTTTCTAGATTTTGTGATATTAGTAATTTGTCAACATTTTCATGTGTGTTACTAATTATGATCCCTTCATCATTTCTAAATCAATAGATGAGTTTGCGGTTACTTTTGACTACGTAAATTTGCCTTACTGTCCTTAAAGATTTGGTTTATAATTATATTATCTCTACCCCCTAAAACACCTGGATACACCCCTCATGTGATTGGTAGCACCTTGGTGACATGCCAGCTTCTTACCTGCAGGGAGCCCAGAAAGGCAAGTTTCAATTTTAACTTTGAAAAGGTGCTTGGTGTCCCCTCAAGAACAAATGTCTTCTTTAATATTCCATGATATATGACACTCCAAATAGGCTTTGCCATCAAAATGACATCTCTGAAGATCTTAGGATACCAAAGGCTGGAGAACAGAAAAAACTTCTAAAGCCCTAGCTAAAAATGAAGCCAAGCAAAACAAAAACACTCACCATTGGCTTGTATTTTTATTGTGGAAAAATGAAGAGGCTTCCTGAGTATATCACATAAGAAATGAGCAAAGAACCCTAACAAAGCCTTTGCCCATCAAAGTTTAGAATACCAGGCAAGTCTACATGCTACCAAAAAGAAAATAGAAATCACATACAAGGCACCTGAAATAATAGCAACATCACAATTAAACAGCATAATTAAACATCAAAAGCTAAATTAAACATCACAAGCTAAATCACAATATCAGTCTTTTCTACTGGGAAAATAAATAATTATTTGCCTGCCAAACTATGCATCCAGTGTAATAACACAGCTACATACACCCAAAGTCTCCAAACATTGATCTCTCATGCACCAGTTCTCAAGAACCTCATAAAGAATATGTTCACACCAAAGCCAGTGACTAAACCCCAAATGAAGACAGAGTATTTGAGAATCAGAAAGGATCCCACACGGACAAAGGCGAGCAAAGTCTCCAAGGGCAGTGGGGTAGAAGACTTGCAGACAATCCAGCCCCTATGGTAGCAAGAGTCAGAGCACTCCAGCAGCGATGACTGGAGTGCAGTAGTGGCACTAGCAAATGATCAGTGTAGGAGGGTAGAATCTTATGCTGAAAGCCATTTTACAGAATTGTGGAAGGTTTGGGAAGCCATCCGTAGATTTCTAGAAAATAAAGTGTATGGGCACATTATGAAACTCTAGGAAGACCTAAATGACGTAGGAAGATACATCAGAAAGTTTGGGTACTGGGTTTCCAGCTCATATGCGCATGGGTTTAGTCCAAACAAATGGTATTGAAACCTGCCCTGGCCAGCAGTAGATGACTGTAGACAAGTGCTCTCATCTTCGTCTTGTTAGGGTGCCTTCAGAAAGGTCCAATCGAATTAGGTTTCTGAGCAGATCTCTTGGGCCATGTTATGGTCAATGCAAAATGGTCAGTGCATCAAGTTTCTATCTACTGTTTTGAGTTGCAACTGTGAATTTAATTCCATCTAGGTAGCTGGAATGTGTGGCCAATTGTCTATATGAATAACTGTCTTCTTTGCCATGGCACCAGAAGAACTAGCTGGTGTCTGGCTAGCATTACGGAACATTTTGGCCCAAGAGTCTATAGAGGAATTCTAATTCACAGGAGTAAAATGCAAACATAATCTCAAATTTTCATGGACATCAGACTTTTTGAAACCGTGAAGTCTGGCTGAATCCCTGAAAGTAGTCCTCTGAGGTCATCTTTGAGCCTTAAGTAAAACAGATCATTTGATGTCTTCTTAAAATCAAATAGCAGTTTAGTGTAACTAGTAAGAAGAAGTCTTCCTGGAGCATTATATTCTTGTAAGAACAAATATATATATATATATATACATATACATATATATATATATATTTTAAGATACATATATATATTTGTGGGCTTATGTTCCATGGGAGTACTAGAAACTTTCAAGGAACTGATATTTCTTCACTATTGGAAGTACTTTATAAAAATAAATGAAAACATTTCTAATGACAATAATACTAACATGGAAAATATTGGCACACACACAAATCCTACAGATGAATTTCACTGGTAAATGTTAATTCAAAGTCTAAATAAAATACTTCCCTGGCAGGGGAGATACCGGGGCACGACGGTGGTTTTCCCAGGGCGCACCTTGTCTGTTGCCCTCCCCATGTTCTGGTTGCCGTGACTTGCCCAAAGGTGGGAAACACGACTGTGTGATTTGTGACAGTGGGGGTCTGCATTCACACTCTTCCCATGTAAAAAAATCTACATAAAACATTAACCATTTTATTCAGCGTTACTTAAAAGCACTAGGAAGTTATGAGCAATTATCCAAAAATGTTTCATTGGGAAATATAGCTATCAAAGTCTACTGTACAGCAGTCCTGACTTATGATGTATTTGAGTTACTTCATACTGCACTTATGATCAGACACACACACGTTTGACATATAGTGTTAGTAAGATATCATATGTATAAACATTGCATCACGTAATTTGCTCATATTATTTTTATGCCAACCTCCAAAGACAAATTGAGTTCATATTTATAAAGATAATAAAAGACGATAATAAAAAGGTATTTAATTTATCATTTATAAAATAACTGTCAAACTGGAACCCCATCATGTTAGGGATGAGCTCTAGCTTATTAAAAGATATTATTTGTCAATCTCAATCAATATTAAAAATTCATTGGATAAATTAAAGTGTGTAATATGGATAAGTTGTCTTATAACACTAACAGGAAAGCTTTCTTTTTGCCTATAGGCTGGCTGTGTGTTAGCATCAATGAGACGGCAGCGAGCTCACTTTGGTTTCTTGACTTTTAAAGGTTATTTATGGTTTAGGCGTTTTCTAGTTTCCAATGTGGGATTGTTTTGGGTTGGTCTTTTGTTCTGAATGGCCGATTTGTTGCACTGTCTCTGATAAGCAGTCCTCATCATGATTCAGTAGGGCACTCTTGCTAAGATTAGGAAGAGAACCAGGATGTCCCTGATGGTTGTGACGAAGGCATATTGCTGAGGACATGCTAGCCAGGGCACTGAACACTGAAAAACAAGAAGCAGAAAGAGGGCATAAACACTCTTGTAGTTTACGAAGGCAAAATTCACTGTTATTTACACTAATATATTTGTCCACTAGGAAAATATTTTCTGGAGAAAATTGTGTAGAAATAAAATGTGGCTGATTTCAAAATCAATGTGCAGAAATTGATAGCTTTATGTTAAGGCTACTATAAATGGCTAGAACACAAATCTTTAAATATGTGCTTTTCAGAAGTGACAAAATATGAAATAAAAATTAAGCCTGCTGAATTGTACATGTTACTAAGACATAAAAGTGTATTTGCACAAATGAAGAGGTATAATCTATAGAAACGGAGAATACTAGAAGCTGTCAATGTTCCTTTAAAGACAATCTAATTAGAAAGAAATCAATGTGGAACTTTTTATCTGGGAACTTGATTAAATGGTTTTACACTTAATGGAAAAGGAATCTGATTACAGAGTAGTCAAAAACATAATTCATGGTGCCCTAATTAAAGCTATTAAAGTACAAGGACAGCAAAAAAATAAAACCAAATCAAAGGAAGATCCTCAATGACACGGACTGACGCAGCAGCTGGAACAGCGGGCTCCATCCATGGTGAGGAGGGCGCAGGGCTGGGCGGTGCTCCATCCTCTTGTACGTGGGGTCTCAGGGAGTCGGAACTGACTCCCTGGACACTTGCCACAACACAATCAAAGCCGAGGGTCCCCGTGTCAGGGAAGAGGGCATATGAAAAGACTGAGATGGACAAGACCCCTGAGGCCCTGACATTTATATGTTAGTAATAATTAATTAAAAAGTAAAGTCAGTGGAGGGTTATATGTTATTAATCACACAGTGCTTGGATAACAAATCATTCTTGATGTAGAGATAGACCAATAAACAAAATACATTCCAATATGTTAGAAGAAATATATCTTGAAACATAGATTTATATGTATTTTTGGAGGATGGTAGTTTTTTGAACTACGATCTTAAGTATTAAATTACCCATTAACTATTTAATTACATAAAGATGAGGACCAGGTAGTATGGTAGGGA